AGACAAATATAGTGCCCATCTTTAAAAAAGGGAAGGACAATCCAGGGAACTACAGACTCATCTTCGCCTCAGTGGGAGAGGTGGATACGCTGGAGGGCAGGGATAGGGTCCAGAGTGACCTGGACAGATTAGAGGATTGGGCCAAAAGAAATCTGATGAGGTTCAACAAGGACAAGTTAGAGTCCTGAACTTAGGACGGAAGAATCCCAAGCATGGTTACAGGCTGGGGACTGAATGGCTAAGTAGCAGTTTGTCAGAAAAGGACCTGGGGATTACAGTGGATGAGAAGCTGGATAGGAGTCAACTGGGCGCCCTTGTAGCCAACAAGGCTAATGGCATATTTGGGGCATTAAGAGGAGCATTGCCAGCAGATCCAGAGAAGTGATTATTCCCCTTTATTCAGCTCTGGTGAGGCCACATCTGGAATATTTTGTCTAGTTTTGGGCCCCTCACTACAGAAAGGATGTGGACGCATTGGAGAGGGTCCAGCGGAGAGCGACCAAAATGATTAACAGATGGCAGAACAAGGAGCAATGGGCTCAAGTTACAGTGCGGGAGGTCTAGGTTGGATATTAGGAAAACCTGTTTCACTAGGAGGGTGGTGAAGCACTGGGACGGGTTCCCTAGGGAGGGGGTGGAATCTCCATCCCTAGAGGTTTTTAAGTCTCAGGTTGACAGAGCCCTGGCTGGGTTGATTTAGTTGGGGTTGGTCCTGCCCTGGGCAGGGGGCTGGACTGGATGACTCCTGAGGTCTCTTCCAGCTGAATGATTCTCTGATCCCATTTGGGTGCATGTCTCATTCCTGTATTTGAAGTTAGAAATATGCCGTATGCACCTGTGTGACTACTGTCGCCGTGCGAAGTGAGGGCGGTTAGTAATAGTGCACAAGGAACTCAATGGCCCAGTCCTCGGGACAATGGTCTGTGAACAGACGTGTGTTTCCTGCAAGCCTGGGGGGTGGGGCCACAGTTGGCCCAGCCAAGACGTGTGACTATGTGCCCTGAGGCTGGGCCCCGTCTTGGAAGCTGTACTCGTCCACTGACAGGGAGAAAAAGTTTGAACTGAACACAAGGGGTTCCCGCCTTGGGCAAAACCTATATAAAGCTGGGACGCCAAACAATAGGGGCTGCTGCCAGACGCCCGGTCACCCCTGGTTACACCCAGGGTGGCTGCTGGAAACATCTAAAACTGAAGAGGGGCAGGCCGGAGCCCAGGCCGGGAGGCTGTCCGGTCTGTGAGGGAAGCGTATCCGAGTAGCCCAGAGGGGGAGATGTTCCATGTAACCGGCTCCTTCGTGCATTAAACTTCGCTTGTGGGTTTTATTTTGTTTGGAAACCTACTTTGTTCTGTCTGCTGGCTCCTCTGACCACGTGCATCCTGCCTTCTCCACAGGGGCAGCCCGCGGCACAGAGAGCACCTCCTCTCAAGGCTCCGGCCTCAGTCACAGACCCGAGACGACGCAGCAGCAACAGCAACAGCCTGGCCTTTGGTACCTGGCAGCCCCACCCCTTGGCACAGCTGTCAACTACATCCCAACGGTGCCCCTGGTGCCTTACTCACCCCCCGTGCTGTAAGAGCAGCTCATACCACTTCTGTTGGGGCAGGGATGTTCGGAGTTCCCTTCTGAGATTGTGGGAGGCAGCCTAGGATTTCTAGGGCCAAAGTAGAGACCAGAGAGAGGAAAGATAGTCCAGTAGCTAGGACACAGAGCTGGGAGGTGGGAGAATGGTTTTGGTTCCCTGCTGTGACACAGACATCCTGCCTGACCTTGGTCAAATCACTTAGGCCAGATTTTTAAAGATATTTCGGCATTGCTCCACTCAGCGTGGCCAAATCTAAGTGATTTAGGAACTTAGAAGCTTCATCTGGAGTGCTGTGTCCATTTTTGGGCACCGCACGTTAAGAAAGACGTGACCAAATTGGAGAGAGAGCAAAGCCAATCGGTTCGGAAAACCTGAGCTCCAAGGAAAGGATAAAAAAGGGGCAGGAAGGCTAACAGGGGGCAGGGTGTAACCCTTCCAGTGCGGGAAAGTTTGTTCTGAAGAGGACAGTGATCAGTTGTTCTCCATGTCCACTGAGGACTGGACAGCAAATGATCCGCTTAGTTTCCAGCGAGGAAGAGTCAGGTGAGATGTCAGGCAAAACTTTCTCACTCTAAGGTACTTACGCTCTGGAACAGGTCACAGCAGTGGTCCGCAATGTGGTGCCTGCGGGCGCCATGGCGCCCGCCGGGGCATTTGTGTGCGCCCACTGACAACCTGGGCTGGCCCCACCCCCGGTGCACGGGAGGCACCTGCCCCAGGTACGCAAC